CCCCTCTGCCGCCCTCCCTCCCTCCCTCCGCACCGGGCACCCCGTTGGCTCGGGCTCCACAGCGCTGCCCCGGCGGAGGAGGCACAGTGGGCGCTTTGCCGGCAAGGCCCAGGGAGTGGGTGGCAAAGCCGAGCTCCGCCCCAAGGCACCCCACGCCAGCTGGGAGGTCTCCAGGCCCCACCGGGAGGTTGGCATCTGCGCTCGCCTAGGGCGCAGGAACACCTCGGGCCGGCCCTGGGTGTGACCGCAGGTGCGGTGGGAGGAGATCGGCAGTGCCAAGAAGGGACCTTTCTAGTCTGCTTTTGTCCTGCTCTGGGGCAGGAGGAGGGGGGAGAGGGAGGCTAACCAGTCAGAAGCCCCAGGGGGACACGGGGAAACCTAGAAGGCTGGGCTGCAGGCCTGCTTTGACCGGCAGATGGCTCCTTTTAATTGGGGCTGCCGGGGATTGAACCGGGGCCCTGCCGCGTGCATTCTCGTGCGGAGATGTGCTCCTCCCAAGATGCCCTCCTTCGCTCCTCACCTGTCGCCTTCCTTCAATCTCAGGTCGCCGTGACGCAGAAGCTCCACGTGCTCCTGACCGACCTTCAGCGAGACAGCCACTGAACCACCGCTCTTCGCAAACATCAGCCCGGGATTCGAATGGCGAGCGGAGCCACCTCTTGCTCCAGACACACGCCCTTCCCTTTCGTTTGAAGAACTGAATGCCTTTCTTTGCGACCCCTAGGGCTTGGTCTGTGTATCTAGTTTCTCCTTGATAGTTTGGCGCAGACACAACAGCCTGGCAGTGGCGCCCAGAATCCCGTAGCCTGCCAAGGAGAAGCGCTGATCTCCGTTTCCCCAGATGCTTCTGCCCCTGTATCCTCTAGGGCAGCGATACGCAATGGCTCCGGAGCCACGTGTGGCTTTCTGACGTTCCACCTCTCATCTGCCCCCATGTTCCAGGAAAACAGGAGACACCGTTGCCCCGTAGGGCTTCTGGTTTGCAAGCGGTTCCCACCTTAAAACAGCTAACCACAGAGAAGAGGGTAAAACCACCTCCCGGGGAAAGAGCAAGCTGCTCACAGTATATGTGTGTGTGTAGGGGGGTGATTTTACTCCCCGTCTTCTGCAGCTTTGGGGCATTCTCTCACCTGCGCTGCGGTGCCTCCTGCCGGGGAGACTGAGAAGGCCAAGTGGGAACGTAGGAATAGCCCTGCTGGATTGGACCAATGGTGCACGTCGTCCAGCATCCTGTCTCACGCACTGGCCAATGAGGTCCTTCATAATAACAATTGATTGGCACAGTAATGAGTTAATACGGAGAACAAGAAAAACTGTGAAAAAGTGACGCTTAATATATGTCTTTAAAGAATCATAGAAAAGTGAACAAAAATAATATACCGTATTTTCCGGCGTATAAGACGACCCCCCAGTTCAGAGATTTCCCCTACGCCAGAAAATACGGTACATAATCATAGAAAAATATATTGACGGTGATCTCCAGAATGTCTTGCCGTTTCGAAGGAAGATCTTCTTCTGAACAAAGATGTGGGACAAAAACTGTCTCTCAATAGTTCATATCCTCTGGTGACATCTCACAATTATCAAAGAAGATTTTCAATAATCATAACAGCTGTAATGTATAGTAGAACCTGCCATGGGCTAAGATGATTGTAATGCCAGTAGCACCTTAGAAACCAACAAGATTTCCAGAGTATAAACTTCCAAGAAGCAAAGCTACCTTTGTCAAATGCCGGTAGTTAGTGAAGTTGCTATAAGACAAGTGTAAGGCACCCAAAGAACTAACAAGTAGTGCATTTCACACTAATTAGCAAGTTGTGCTTGGTAAATAATTTTTGTTAAAAAAAATAGCAAATGCAAGAGAGGAAACTAGTCAAAGGGTCAAAATTGCTGGGTTTACTGACCAAAATTCCAAAAAAGTCTGGCCAAATACTGACCAAAAAACCCTGACAAATTACTGACCAATTTAATTTCCGCCTGTTGATAAATCAGCGTTTTAAAAGTAAAGCTGGGACTTCGTTAAAAAGTTATTATCTGGACTCCGCCATCCCCATAGCCAGCTATTGCTCACCTTTTTATTGAGAAACTATATTTTCATGAAGATAGGACAATGTTTTCATTGGTGTAGTGGTTAAGCGAAGAGCTGGACTCGACTGTGCGACTGAACAACAACAGGTAGTTAAGTGCACAGACTCTAATCTGGGAGAACCGGGTTTGATTCCCCACTCCTCCACTTGCAGCTGCTGGATGACCTTGGGCAAGCCGTAGTTCTGACAAGAGCTGTTCTTGAAAAAAAGAGCAGTCTCTGTCAAGAGCTCTCTCAGCCCCACCTCCCTCCCAGGGTGTCTGTTGTGGGGAGGGGAAGGGAAAGGAGTTCGTAAGCAGCTCTGAGACTCCTTTGGGTAGTGAAGGGCCATGGGGTATAAATCCAATCTCTTCTTCTATTGTACAAAATTTAAGGCAAAAAGTCCCTTTTAAAAACAATTGCCTGCTGCAGATAATAAAACAGCAAAATGTATTAATGATCATACATAAAATAATCACGAGAACAAAACATAATTACTGTAAGAGAAGACTTGTCTTTGCTTTTACTTTATCTGTGTTTTTTTACTGAAAAAAATTAACAACGAACTCTCGTTTCTTCAGTCTTCTGCACTGTATCTGCAAGCTTTCTTTTCTTGTCTTCTTCCATTGCTTTCTCCACTCCTAGCAAGAGCTGTGCCATGTTGAATCCCACTCAAAGTGGTCTGTAAACAGAGTTGTAGAGGATGTGGCCATTGCCTGCCTCCATGAGCACAAATACACATGAAGCTGCCTTCACTGAATCGGACCATCAAGGTCACTGTTGTCTACTCAGACTGTCCCAATCACCTAACTGGAGATGCCAGGGATCGAACCTGGGATCTTCTGCATGCCAAGCAGGTGCTCGTCCACTGAGCCACAGCCCACTTTGGAGGGTCAGAACAGACAGAGTACTGGTAAGAAAACTGAACAGGGGAAGGCTCAGAGAGAGCTCTTTCCTTACAAGGAAACACTAAGGAGTCTAGGGCTGTTTTTAGTTTAAAGAAAAGACATTTTGGGGAATATTATAGAGGTTTACAAGTTATGCATGGGGTGCAGAACGCGGGTAGAAACTGTTCTACCCTCTTCCTGTTACACTAGAACATGGGGGCACCCAGTGAAGCTGATGGGCAAGAGACAACGAAAAGGAGGCATTTCTCCAAAGAGTAATTAAATTGTGGAATTCAGTACCCTGCGGATGCAGTGATGGCTACAAGCAGAGAGCCTATGAGTCTTTCGCTGCCTTTTAGCTAGTAAAGGTTTCCCTTGCTCGAAAGCTAGTCGAATCTGACTCTAGGGGGCGGTGCTCATCTCCGTTTCCGAGCCGAAGAGCCAGCGCTGTCCGAAGACGTTTTTGTGGTCATGTGGCCGGCATGACTGGACGCCGAGGCGCACGGAACACTGTTACCTGCCCGCCAAAGCAGTACCTATTTATCTACTTGCAGTTTCTTGCTTTCGAACTGCTAGGTTGGCAGGAGCTTGAGGCCAGAGACGGGAGCTCACTCCATCATGTGGCACTCTGGTCTCGAATTGCTGAACTACCGACTTTCTGGTCTGCAGTTCAGCGTCTTAACCACTGAGCCACTTGCTACAAAGGACTAATTGGAGCCTCCATGTTCAGAGACAGAGTACCTCTGAATACAAGTGCTGGGGGCCAAACAGAAGTGGGAAAGCCGTCTTCTGGAGGCATCTGGTTGGCTACAGCTGGAAGCAGGATGCTAGCCTCAACGGGCCATTGGTTTGATCCAGAATAGCTATGCCAGTGAGCATATTTGGCAACAGCATCAAACCATTTCTCAAATGCAATACTGGGTCCAAGAAGCGCCCACACAACACAAGCCTTTGGTTCTGCCAGTAACCGTATCTCCCCTTGCAGGGCGAGCAGATAACACCCTTCCGGGAAATGCGCCTTTCTAGCCAGACGCACCTTCACCCTGCCCGCCTGAGCTACTTAGCCAGCACATATGTCACGGAGAGATAGGTCGCAACCGGTCTCTTTGCCTGTTGCCATAAAGAAACACTAAAGGAAACTGGAAAGTCTGTTCTTCGCGGCACCCAGTTAAGACTCTTGACACTATCACCGGAGTGGCTTGTGTTCCCTGGGCAGGCCGCCTGCTTGTTTAACGCCTCTTGGCCTGCGGCCCATTGCAGGGTGTCTCTGCCTTCCCACACAGTGTGGGCTCTGGGCCCGTCACCTCCAACCTTTTTGGCGCCAGGCAAGGGTGTCCTATTTGTGGCTGTTTATTACCCAGTTTGTGGTAGGTCTCTCCCCCCCCCCGTCTATTAAACTGTTGTGCCACTTGCCTGATTTATACAATTAAAGTCAAGGGTTAATTTTAATTCAGACAGTCTCTTTTGGAAAAGTGGGACAGCGGTAACTTCAGTCATAGGGATTGGCATGCAGCCATAAGGGGCTCAGCAACTGGAAATTCACTAAATAGACAGCACTAAAGTGCATGGCACTCCCTCTAGAACCTTAAGCAGGAGGAGGCCTGGATGCTTTTGATTTTTTTTAAAAAAACTACCTGGTTAGAGGGGGAGATCAAGAACTACAAAATGGGAAGGTGGATGGTCCTTTTGACCTGACGGGGTTGATCTTTTCACCTCTCCCTCAAACCCGCTGTGACGCCACAGACTGGGTCAGAAAAGCGTCTTACTGGCCTGCCTTGCAGAAAGAAAAGGGGATTAAAAGGCAGAGCGGAAGAAGCAGCACCAAAGCTTCCAAGGGAAACCAAAAGCTCAAGAATTTAGCTCTGTATAAGGAGACAGAAAAAATTAAGGCACCTGTGCCAAGATAGCCCAGGGTGCATTCGCTTGCAGCTTCCTCTCAAGTATTAGGCATTTCTGCAGTTTTGCTTGTACATTTACAAGGCACTTGCAGCTTTTAAATTCCACATGTCAAACTCTGCAGTTTTATACTCTTAAATAAGTTATAAATCATGGAGTTGGAAGGCACCTCCAGGGTCATCTAGTCCAACCCCTTGCACAAGGCAGGAAATTCACAACTACCTCCCCTTCCACACCCCCGGTTCCCCTTGCTCCATACCCAGAAGATGCCAACCCCGCCCCTCTAGGATCTGTGGCCAAACTGGCCCAGAGAAAAATGGCTTCCTGGCCCCAAAGTGGCAATTGGGCATTTCCCTGGGCATGTAAAAAAGGGCCAGAAAAACTAAGCACTGATATAACCCCTTCCTGCCCGCCCTCTCACAAGCTGCCTAAGCATCTTATGTTGCTAAAGCAGTAAAATTGTTTTAGGTTTGACAGGACAGTAAGTATTGCATACATACCAATTTTCCCCAAAATTTTAGTTCCCCCCCCCTAAAAAGGGGGTGGGGACACTGTCTCTATCTATTAACATGTTGTTGTGTGCTGTCCCTGTCCCCCCCCTTCAGAATTTCCAGAAATTTCACAACTCTTGCCTTCTTCCTGCCTACCTATTTAAACGTTGAGCAGTGTTCCCTCTAAGCTGAGTTAGTGTGAGCTAGCTCAGTTTTTTAGCCTCCGGCTCACACATTTTTGTCTCCGCTCAGGAAGGAGGGCTCCAGAGCAAACTAATTCATGCAGCAGCCAAATCGCTGGCTCACAACTTTAATTCTAGGAGCTCACAAAGTAGAATGTTTGCTCAGTGTTTCCTCTAAGCTGAGTTAGTGTGATCGAGCTCACCGTTTTTTAGCCTCCCGCTCACACATTTTTGTCTGAGCTCAGGAAGGGCGGCTCCAGAGCAGACCAAGTTATGCAGCAGCCAAATCGCTCGCTCACCACTTTAATGCCAGTGGCTCACAAAGTCCAATTTCTGCTCACCAGACTCCACAGCTTAGAGGGAGCATTGGAGGTATCTAACTCCGGGCGATGTTCACGTAACTTACTAAGGCTTCTTTCCCTGGACGGGAGGCTGCGGGTTTAAGCAGCTAGCAGCAGTCAGCTCAGGCTCTCGTGGAGGGGGGTTCCGCAGGCGCAACCGCCGAAGCGAGGCCGCCACCAACGGATGGAGGTGCCCGAGAGCTCGCTCACTTGCAAGCGCTGAGGACAGCCACGGTCGGAGAGGCTTCAGGTACTTTCGGTTAACTACCTGCCTCCCCCCCCCCGGTTCTATTTCTGTCTTAAACGACGCCTTACGCCTCCACACCCCTTGTAACTGGAACTTATTTTGAAATCGTAGAAGCAGCCGGCCGCAACCTCTCCCCCGCCAGCACTTTCATTTTTAAAAAACGGACACCGGAGCCTTCCCAAAACGGAGTTTATTGACACAAACCCACCAAAC